AGAACAGATATATGCACACCCATGTTCATCGCAGCACTATTTACAATAGCCAAAAGATGGAAACAACCTAGATGTCCATCAACTGATGAATGGATAACCAAACTTTGGTACATACGCACAATGGAATACTTAGCAGCCCTAAAGAATAACCTAGAATCTGCAAAACACCCCATAACATGGATGAACTTGGAAGACATTATGCTGCGTGAAATTAGTCCATCACAGAAGGACAAATATTGTATTAGTCCATTATTGTAAAAATCAAGGAAAGGTTTATCTATGGAAGGAAAGTTTCTTTTTTGGTTACCAGGGGTGGGAAGGGAGGGTAGGGAACATTGTTAGATAGATAGAGATAAGTATCGATCTGGGTGAAGAGAAGGGCATTGTACCATATGTAAGTGATCAACATGGTGCCATTGAGGAAGAGTAAGACATAGAGAGGTACATGGGAGTTACAGACAACCAAATAAACCCTGTTCCACATATAGTACTGCGTTGTCTGTGAAGGCAAACATGGGTATACGGATGGATAGATGGGTGGACATGCTGAAGTATTAGGTATGTCTGTGAAGTGGGAGTGTACCCAAGACCATGTATAGGGTTGGCAGACAGTGGTCCTATAAATGTATTGGTATGATCTGAATTCCCAGGTGTATAGTAGAGCTGACAAGGGACAAGGTTGTAGTCACTTCTTGGTCACAGCTAGCTACCCAGTGGGACTGAGTAGTTGAACCTGTAGTTTCAGGACTATAGTCACAGGGGACATAAAGCTCAATTGGTATAACATACTGCACAAAACATTTTTCTACCTCCTACTTTGGCAAATGGTGACTGGGATCTTAAAAATCTTCCAAGGAGCCCTCTAGATGCAACAATGGGTCTCTCCTTGTCCAGAGCAAAGAATAATGAAGAAAACCAAAGATTCATGGAAAGAATTAGTCCTGGTGACTGGTACACCGTACGATCTGCAGCCTGTATGACTATGAGACCAGAAGAACAAGATGGTACCTGGCTACCGCTGTCACCCACTCGGAGGGGGATCTGTGTAGGAGATCCTGGATAGAGAGGGAGAACAATGTGGAGCAAAACTCAAAATCATTTGGAAAAAAA